GTCTCTCGGGCACTGCGACGAACTCAAGAAGCTCGCACACAACCTCCACGATCATGCCACGGCTCTTACACGCACGCTTCTCACTGCAGGTCTCGAGCCAGTTTGTCAAAGCTACACGCTCATGCGCCAGAAGAATCTGCCTGCCATCATGAGGTCGGATGCCCCGCTGTCTCCGCCGTTGCGCAGCCACAAGATCGGCTCTGGTGATACCGTACAGCTGCAGAAGCCCGTCAGATCAATTGGGGCGCACCTTCCGGGCACTGGCGCTCGTAGGAGGGTTGATCAGGCCGCCAAGTTGTTGACGCGTCAATTGACGAAGGCCATCGACCTCTAAATACTGTTGAACTTCAATAAACGTCATCGAACCCGCCGTGAGCTGACGTAGGAGTTGGGATACACGATCTGCCTTGGCTCGACGCTCGGCCTATAGGCACAAATACCACTGTCAGCTGTATGCGGGGAAATGTCAACGTTCCAACACCAAAGAGTCACACAGTGAAGCGGTTTTCAACTCCAAGGCGCACCGATATCCTTGACAAACCCGGCTTTCATCATGCCCGGCCGTTGCAACCCCCGTACATGCCTGTTTACCCCGGCGATGCCGCATGGCGGCTGTCTGCCAGCCGAGGTGGGATGGCCTGAAATGGCAGCCACATATCAGCGGAATCCGAGGAGATGAGCATTCGAAAGCTGGCTCAACCATAGTTAATGGTGTAAAACTTGTATCCCACCTTTTGATTCCTGAAGATTGATCGAGTGGCCACCAGGGCGCTGCCGTTTATCTTCCTTGCCAGACAGCTCCAGCCTCCAACAGAGGGAAAAATGAACGGGAAAAAAAATTAAATTTTATTTTTGGTAACAAATGTCCAAAGGTAACAAATACCCTCGGTGACTGTAAGAACACTCAACTGCTTTCGCGTGAATCCAGCGTCACCCACTATTACTATGAGTCCCTTGCTAGAAATACCCATTGGTAGTAAGACTTCACTCACATATGGAGTCACACCATGGTATGCGTAATGTGAAGCACATGAGCACTACATCCAGATGTAATAAAGTGCAGTTAGTAGACCCCGCGTGGCTTGGCAGGCTCCACGACGCTTGTACCTCTTGGCATGATAGAAGCCAATGAATGTGCCTTGTTCTCTTGTGTTGTTTTGCGTGCCGTTGTGATGTTGATGTCGGGGTTGCACAGCTTTGCTTTCAGCTCTGAGGTTCAAACACCTAATTTATTATATACGTTTGAAGGCCAACTATGGGGTTGTGAGGATGCGCGTCGTTGAAAGGTGTCTGTCGGGACAGAGCGAGAGATTTCTTAGTGTCGTGAGGTCAATTGAGCCGGACCGCTGCGCTCGGCAAACATTCACAGTGACCAGACGAGGTGCAGGCAGTATAAAGCCGCTTGATCGCTAGGATCAGGAATTGCGACTCATGCTCGACGCCACAACAAGGGACAACCGTACCCACAGCCTCATCACGCAAACTTGCGAAGAAATTTTGCGAAGTAAAAGAGGCACGTGGAGTTTACTGATGTACCTCCCATAGATGTGAGTGTAGATGCGTGTTTGCTAGTGGAGTTATACCATCGATCATAGTGCCCACTTGCCACAGGCCAGTCCAGAGCTGGCCGTCGGAGTCAAGGACGGCATTTCAGCTGCGGTTGGCATGGCCTTTGGTGAGCTTCAAGCCTGTGAGTCTAACCCGGGCTGGACCATGCTCTCCCTCGATTTCAAGAGTGCCTTCAACTACACCGACCGAGCACGGCTGCACGAGATTGTGGCCGACAAGGTCCCTGGCCTTTTGCGCGCCTTTGAACGACACTATGCTCGACCCACTACTCACTGCATTGTCGACAAGCTCTTGAACCGTGCTTGCAAGGACACCTTTGTCAAAGCCATTTTTGCCAAAGTAAACCTGTCTGCACCAGCTGGAGCTGAAGGTCATGACGTTACGCTGGAACAGCTCCTTGAGGCTCGCCTCTTCACGCGGGCCAACACCGGGGGCTTTGGCCTGCACGACTTGGTTGAGCGCGGTCCGGTGGCTTATGTCTGCAACATGGCCAAGCTGGCCACTCGCTACCCTCGGGTCTACGATCGACTTTTGGAGGATGCATCGAGGGCTGCTGACTTTGAGGCCCACGTGCAGCGAGCCGGCTTCCAGATGGCCACGGTCAAGGACGCGGCGACCCAGCGACCAGCGGAGATCATTGCCCTCCGCTCCAAGGCGGCACTGGACGACCTGATGGCCAAGTGTGCGCTGGACCTGCAGCAGGCATATCTGGCCTCACGCGAGTGGGGCGTCAGCACAGTCTTGACCATGCGGGGTCGGGACAAGTTGCGTCGCTTGAGCGACACGACCTTTGCCATTGCGGTCGTGTCCATGATGGGTTTTGGCCTGCATGAGCTCATCAACGTCAAGCCAACGGACAAGTGCCCGCTCTGCAGCAGCAAGACACCTCAGCCGCGACTAACCCGCGAGCACCTGCTGACCTGCCGTCCCATCAAGCGACACAACGCCCTTCGCGACGAGATGGGCCGCCTGCTCAGGTACGCCACCCTCTCCCATGTCTGGGTGGAAAAGTCTGGCTACAACGCCAACGGTCAGAGCTGCCGCATCGACCTGCACTGCCGCAACCCCTTTCCCGGCGGTGCCTTGGGCCCAGCTCTGCCCGACCTGGGCATTGACGTGACTGTGCGCACAGCCCAACCCCCGACCACCTCGCAAGCCTGCATCAAGGTGGGCGCTGCCCTTCGCCGAGCCGAAAAGGAGAAGCGCGACTACTACACCGGTTTCAACCATGGAAAAACTCTGATCGTCCCTGCGGCGATGACGACAACCGGTGGGTTCGCCTCCTCCTTTGTGGATCTGCTTGGTCAGCTCGCCCGCTGCGCCGAGGCCCGTGGTGTGTACCAGCCGGGGCTGGATGAGGCCTTTGTTCCCCGGTGGAAGGGTCGCTTTGCGGCGCTGGTCCATCAGATGAACGCTGACCACATCCAGCGCCACTTTGGCGGTGTC